TAGATATATAGTTACATTCTCTTAATAAATAGAGTGATTTGTTCTAATGGTGTTTGTAAATAGGATATCATGTCTGCATCTTTTTTTTTAATTTTTATTTATTTATTTATGTGTGTGTGTGTGTGTGTGTGTGTGTGTGGCCAGCTCAGCCCACCAGGGGGTGGGGCTGGCTGGCATGTGGTGCTGGGGATTGAACCGCGGTCCCTGTGCTTTGTTAAGCTTGTATCTAAGTAGGTGCTTTAGACCACTGAGCCATCTCACCAGCCCCTTTTTTTTTTCTGTCATTCTATAGCTTGTCTTTCCACTCAATTGTTTTGTTTGTATGCAGAAGCTTTTATTTTTTTTATTTTTTATTTTTATTTTTTCTGGCAGAACTGGGGATTGAACTCATGTCCTTGCACTTGCCAGCCAAGCACTTATTCTACTGAGCCATCTCCCTGGCCCACAACCCTCATTAAGCGGCTGACAAAAGCAAGCCTTAAGCCGGCATTTACAGATCACTTGCTAGAAAGTGTAGTGTCCTGGACCAGCAATTACTGAGCATCCATGCCGTGGAGGTCAGCATTAATGGAGCTCCTACTGAGTACAAAAAGCCATGGCTCTATGACCCTGGGATTTCCCCAAATGAAGCCCCAGGGGGAGTTTGGGGAGGGCTGGGATGGATTCACTTATCCTCCAGGATTGTGCATTAACTGGCTAATGTGTGCTGGGCAAGAGACACCCCAAGAAGTAACTCGGTAAGGAAGGCACACTCTAGCCAGACATGATGCCGCATGCCTGTCATTCCAGGACTTAAGAGGCTGAGGCAGGAGGGTCGCCAGCTTGGTCTATAGAATGAGTCCCCATTTCAAAAAAGGGGGTGATATGGTTCAGTGCCTGTGATTAAAAGCATCAAGCCAATTTAAGTAATGGGCAGAATTCAGGCAGCACAAACACAAGACTGAGAGGACATTGTGGGTGCCGCAGGACTCACCTGGTACTTCCTCTTGCGCCAGCACAGGAAGCCCTTCTCCCGGAACTGCTGGTGGTAAGTGCTGTCATTGGCCTTTACTTCCCAGGTGAATGCTGCAGCAAGAGAAGGGGGTAGTGCTGCAGCACTAGACAAGACAAACACCCTAACAATGCCCAAGAGAGGGACTAATAGGCCCCCCTGGGCCCCAGCACTAGAGATCCCCAGCCCAAGATGTCAGGGAGCTTGTAAACAAGCCAAAGGTACCGCCGGGAGTCTTGACTGGCCTGTGTGGTAGGTGCATGTGGACCCCAAGAGGGACCCCAGTCGCCTCAAGGCCCTGTAAGACCCAGGATCGCCCGTTTATCTTACAGATGGGGTAAACGGAGGTCTGGTGATGGACTCCCAGCATCTGAAGCCACACACTCACCAAATGTGAAGTCTATCATTTCTGGATAAGGATGAGTACAGTGTGAGACAATCCCTTACAACTTGTGTGTGTGCCAGGGGTCCCCCACTTTCTTGGCCCCCGTCCTTTTTCCACTCCCTCCTCAGCCTGTCATGCACCTGTGTCCTTGTTGTCCTGCAGATCTTCTCTGGTGGTAGCCCTGCCCATGCTGGTGGGGCTGTCCAGGGAGAGAGGTCCAAGGTCAGGTCACACTCATGGTCCTGGCCTGTGCCGGGTGTTGTCCTTAAGAAGCCCAGAGCCTAGAGGTCCCTTGTCCAAAATGTCACCTTCCATGCCCCTGTGTGGCCCCTCCCCAGGCTCTGAAGGTCCAACTGCTACAGTTCTACCTTCTCTCTGAAGAGTTCAGAGTGAAATTATTTATTCAATCCATGTTCACTGACTGACCAAATGAAGCCCAGGATTACACATTATGTCTCAGAGCAGTATCTGTGTGAGCTAAGCCCTCGGGGCTGTTTGGAACCAGATCCAGCCAAGCACAGCCACCCTAGTGCTCAGTGGGCATGGGAAGGTGCAAACAGAGTGGAACCACCTGAAGAGCCAGGAATCTTGGCACTAATGAACTTAGGAGTCTGAATCTGGTTTTACATGCAGGGGCCTGGTGCAGTCCCCAGCATAGGCAAACTGCCCACAAAGCGGGAGGCCCTGAAGCTCTCCGAATGACCCCCACCCTACCCTCCCTCTTTAGCACTCAGCAACTCCCTCTTGGCTGAGCCCCTGCATCGGTTGTCTGGCTGGAGGCCACCTTTTCCTCACCCTTCCGGTCTCACTTCATACTCCCCAGACCGTCCTGGCTGGCTCCTGCGCCTCCTCCGGGGGTCCTGTCTGCCTGGGGAGTCCCCCATCCTGCTCTGATCACCTGCTCTCCTCTACTTCACTGCCTGTCCTGGTCGCCTGCTAAGCTCCAAACCTCTCTAGGGGACAGAGACTGAGTCATGGGTGTCCCTAGAGGCCTCTTGCCCAGGACCAACTCAGGTTCTCTCGGATGCAGCAGACACTGCACCCGATCAGCAGGGGAGGCAAAAAGAGGCTGCGGCGCATGGGGGTTAGGGCGGAAGGCAGTGTGACCAGGTGGGGAGACGCTCAGATGGCCAGAATTCCCCAAAATGTGCCTGGATGCACAAACACACAGGTCTCGCTTATAGCACACCCTCTTCTCAGCTCACTAGACGCCACATGAACAGGGAGCTGGAGTCTTCCCGCAGGAGTAGCTGCTCAGGGTCAAAGCTCAAAGCTTCGCGGGAGCAGAGACCCTGGCGCCGCAGACGTCGTTAAGCTCGCTGAGTTTCCTCTAGGCCTCGGCCGTGCTGACTTCTAGAGGGCGCCTTCTCCTCCGCCGCTGTACCCCCACCCCCCACTTCAGGCCTGAAGGACAAAGAAGGTGAGCGGCCACCCCGGCATGCCCAGCTTTGAGAGTGTCGGCTGCTCACCTGCGCCGCCCCGCGGTGATGGAGCTGTTACCCCGGGACTAAACGGCCTGGAAGGCGCGAGGAGGGGTTGGGCGACCGGAGGGGCGGGGCCAGAGGAAGGCGGGGCCAGGTTACGGGGGCGGGGCCAAGGTGGTAGATGGGCCTAAAGGAGCTGGATGGGGTTGGCCTGGCCCTAGGGGCGGGGCCAGGTGGACTGTGGGTTGGGCCGGGCCGGCTTTCAGATGAGGGGCGGGTCTGAGGGCCGTAGCCGTGACCGAAGATATGGTCTGTAGGTGCCAAAGAAGAAAGCCTGGCCTAGTGTAGTCGAGGCAGAGGAGAATGGGCCCTAAGGGTGGGGCTTAGGGGACAGTGCGCCTGCAGGGCCTCGCAAAATGCAGGTGTGGATGGGGTTTCAGAAGAGGCCAGGTCGGGTGGGCTAGGCATGGAGCAGGGAACCCAGGATGAGGAGACTGGGGAGTTCTGAAGATTTGAAGTGGATATCCAGGGATGGAGAATACAACAGGATGAGAGTGGGGCAGTGGGTGGGGCTTTATCCTGCAGGCAGAATTTGGAGAGAGGGTCTAACAAAGCCTGACCCAGGTAGGGTCTGGTATGGATTGAAAGGATCTAAGGTTGGACAAGGACTGAGGCTGGGTTTGTTCGTGTGGCCTGGAGTGACAATAAGGACACACAAGTAGCTACACATACCTAGAGCATGTCCCAGTCGGGTACCCAGGTTCCCTCACTCATCCTTCCCTGAGTTAAATGTACATTTGCGGATTTATCTTGGGCCGGGGAAGGCGATTGTAGCCATTCTTTTTTGGGGGAGGGGGTCCTAGGAATTGAACTGCGGACTTCACCGTTGCCATGCAGGCACTGCACCACTGAACGAAATCCCTGGCCCAAGCCATTCTTTCACCTTCTTTTTGAGTAGTCTCGAGAACCCAGGGTCTTTTCATTGTTACATCCCTAGTCCTTTTTTAATATTCCTGTTATGTAGCCCAGGCTGGTCTCAAACTGAGCGCCCACCTCAGCCTCCTGAGGCCGAGATTACAGGTGTGCACCATCGTGACAGCCTGTATTTGTTAAAACAAGGTGTCCAGGCTGGTATCAAACATGGTCGGGAGATAGCTCAGTAGAATAAGCGCTTGCCTGGCAAGTCCAGGGTCCCGAGTTCAATCCCCGGTACCGCAAAAAAAAAAAAAAAAAAAAAACAAAAAAAAACATGTAATCCTTCCACTTCAGTCCCCCAGAGTACTGGGATGACAGGCATGTACACCACGCCCAACTGGAAAAAGACCACAGGGCTCCCTCAGTGATAGGGGCCTTTGGTGGGGATGTGAGTTTGGGAAAGCCAGAGTCAGAAAAGGTGTGCTGTGGATGCCACTCAAGATATGGTCCCCCTAGCTGGGCATGGTGGTGCATGCCTATAATCCCAGCACTCTGAGGCAGGATTGTTGTGAATTTGAGACCAGCCTGGGCTACAAAGCTCTAGATCAGGCTGAACTGCGTATCAAGACCCTGTCTAAAAAAAAGACCAAAAAAGAGTGCCACCAAGTGACTTCACGTCTATTTTTAGTATTTTGAGCCAGAGGACCTGTCTGCAGTGAGCCCTCAGTCCCTTCCTCTGACCTAGCCCCATGCAACAGACCAGGGTGCCCATGTCTGACTCTGTCTTCCAGATTCTAGTCCCTGTCACCTACAGGTAGGTTTGGGGTGGGTGAACGGAGGATGGCAGAGGTAAGTAAGCTACAGAATCCTACTCCCCCATCTAAGCATCAACCTGAGGCTCTCAAGTTAACTGATGTCTGAAGCAAGGCAGGCCTTCTCAACCCCTGCGGTGGGGGCAGGGGAATTTTCTTCTACCGGTTTATTCATTCAGTGAATATGTATCCAGCGCCTACCCAGTGTGGTGGGGGAGGGGCTGTTCGATCAAAATGCTGATGTCCTTTAGCACTTGGGGAGACCTATGGGAACGATTTCCCCTTCCCCACCTTCAACGAGGGGATATCACAGTGGAGACACAGCCTTCACTGGCAGAGGACATGTTGTACAAAGGTCCTGAGGTCCCCCAGTAGACAGACCAGTAGAGCAACACAGAAGTTTCTTGAGATCTGGGGGAGCTGGTTGTGGCTTACCCCAAGCTGGAGACAGACACTACAGAAACAAACATTGGCACCATTTACTAAGAAAAAGCCTCATGGTGTGTGTGTGGGGGGAGGGGGTCACAACCAACTTGGTCACAAGAGCAGACCAAGGGCAGAAATGGGCTGTTCAGCCAAGGACCAGGCCATGCGCCACCACCCCACACCACTGAATTCCCAGGGACTTGGGAAAGATTCTGTGTATTTGGTACAGGGTTTCACTAAGCAACTCAGACCCATAGTGATCTTCCTGTTTTCAGCCTCCGCACTGCTGGGATTACAGGCATGCGCCACCATGCCTGGTCTCGGTGGCCAGCTCAGCCCACCTGCGGGCAGGGCCAGCACAGCATGTGGTGCCAGGGATCAAACCCCAGTCCCTGTGCTTGCCTAAGCAGGCCCTTAGTTCACTGAGCTACCTTACCAACCCTTGGGGAAGATTCTAGACCTGGAAAGCACCCTATTTTTCCTCTGCAGCCTGGCTAGAGACACCTCAGGACCTCACTGCTGCTGAGGGAGGGGTGGGGCTGGGCAGACTTCACCCCAGCACCTGTGTGCTCAAGCAGCCCAACCTGGACCCCCACCCTGGCCCTGGGGCTAAGGGTACCTCTTCATCTACTGGTCCCTATCTACCCCAATTTCAAACTGATGGTAAAATGGGGCCAAGTAAAACTGGGGCCACAATTCCCAAGTGGGAGTGGGTTCAGTCCCAGTTGTCAAGTATGTGCACTGCAAGTCAGTGTTTCGCTGGGCTGGCCCCTTCCCTCAGACACAGCAGGCAGCCGCTCTGCCACTGAACCTCTGCCACCCAGCTCTGAAGTGGGTGCAGCAGGGGACCCAATTCCACCCTCACCCTGTGGGGTCTAGATCCAGGCCACCCTGAACTTGGGCTGCTCAGGACACGGTCCCTACCACAGCTCATTTTGTTAGCTGAGCCAAATGCTTCCTGCCCTCCTGGCCTTGGCCACAGGGATGGTGATAGTGGCCCTAAGGGGCATGTGCAGAGGACTCACTGAGAGGGGCACCCACAGCACGACAAGTAGCAAATCTAAAATTCATACAAACGTTTATTCCGTCCCTGTCCAGGAGCCATGGGGTAGAGGGGCACAAAGAGCCCCTGGGAGGGGTGGGGCTCCTGTGGGAAGACAGTGTCCCCAGGCCAGCAGGCCATGGGATGTCCAGAAGGCAAGGCCCTGGGCCAGGCTGGCTTGCTTCTTGGAGGTCATGGAAGGAAGTCAGTGGGCTGGGAGGAGATGGGGGAGAGGCCATCACCCCAAGGCAGGCCAGACTGCCAGGAGGCAAAGCCGCCACACCCCACTTGGGTCTGGCTCATGGCCACACCCATCCCCAAGGAGGAAAGCAGCACCAGGGCCTTCCTCCTGAGGTGGGGACGGTAACTGCGCAAGTTAACAGGTTTAAATTAAAAAATAATAAAAATAATACAAAAAAAAAAAGGGACAACCCCTGTCCCCCAAGACACCAACCTGCCCCACATAGGGTATGGGAGCAGAGAAGGGCAGGGCTTTCCAGGCCTGCCTCAAGCAACTGTCCTGCCTGTCCGCCGTTTCTTGGTTTGGGGTGGCGGCCAGGCGCACAGCATTAGCTCTCAGATTTATTGCACTGTTTTGGAAGAGGCCTGGGGCTGAAGGGGGCTTATGGGGGTGGGCAGCACAGGGGTAGGGATGGGGGGTAGGGTGAGAGGTGGCGGTGGTGGCGTCATCGTTTGGTCTTGGCGTCCTCCCGAATCTTCCAGATCACCAGGTGCATGCAGGCGCTGGCATCCTCACTGGAGCTGTGCCCATCCACTGTGGGACAGAGCAGGTCACCCGGGGTGCAGGGGGCAGGGCTGGCATGGGTACAGGCCTCACACGGCCCAACTCACCATTGTCCTGGATGATCTGTCTGAGGTAGTCGGCCATGAGGTTCCGGAGAGAGCGCTTGTAGGGGAGACCCAGGCGGTGTGGGAACAGCACGGCTGTGTCTACCACGGTGCTATGGATGACCTTCAGGGCCAGCAGGTCACTCTCCAGGCTGTGCCCAATGAGGATGGTGTCAGCGCTAAACATGCTCAGCAGGACGGCCTGCACATCCCGCAGTGTGATGCTCGTATCTGCGAGGTCAGCCTCTGTCACCCCGGAGAACCTGGTGGAGGGAAAATGGGCTCAGCTGGGCTGGGAGCACCGAGCAGGCAGCCGGCAGCTGGGCACGTTCTGTGGAGAGGCCGTACCTGGTGTTGTAGTCCACAATGTCATTCTCAGGCTTGACGAACGTGTCATATACCACCTGCATGTCTGTGTCCACCACTGTGACGCGGGTCAGCTCCAGGCCGTATGTGGTGTAAGACTGTGGGCCAAGGGAGGGGCTCAGACATGGACCAGCTCACCAGAACACTAGAGGCAGAGGTCCCACAAACTCCCTACTGCTCCCCAGAGCCCTTTGGTGCTGAGGAGAGACTCCCATTGTAGATAGGGAAGCTGAGGCCAACAGCCTTGTAGGGCTTCGGCAAGTGGTGGAGTGAGCTTGTGAACACAGAGGAGCCCTGGGGACACGGGGGAATTTGTCCAGAAGCCCTTCCAGGCAAATGCGCTGGCACTTGGTAAGCCACACCTTGATCTAGCTACAAACACATCCAATGGATCTGGGCCAGGACCTGGGCGCCCACCCAACCCCAGGGCCCTAAGGCTGGGCCTCACCATTTCGCAGTCAAGGGCATAGACCCCTGCATGGGCAGCCCCTGCAAGCTCCTTTTCAAAGGTCCTCACGAAGCCCTCGAGATTCTCCTTCCGGCCATCCTGCACATGTTGCTGGGGGGAGCGGAGGGACCTCAGAGACAGGGCCGGCAGGCCAGGTGTGGTGCTGTGGGCCAAGGCTAAGGTCCCACTCCTCCCCTCTCCCCCCAGCCTGTTTAAAGTCAGAAACACAAGAGGCTTGGAGCCCTG